ACTACGCTCCTGGGTGGACACCAATTACTTGACGTGTTGGGCTTGATCACGTCCCGTCTGGGACCTCACTGCCCTCTGTGGTCAGAAGACTGAACTCACAATCGTAAATTTGCGATTTCAAATTCCAGTCAAGGGCCGTCTCAGCGCATCATCTATCTGGGCTGATAAAATTCAAGACCACTTTGCGGAGTTAATGTTTGACAAACGACTGGCCCTTGCCAGGAGTTTGTGGAATTGACACCACGAGCTGCTGACCATTAACAGAGTTGAGCACTGCCTCGGTAGAAAAGCTGAGTGATGAGGGCCCCACAGGGAAGGTTGCATTCGGCAGTGCTATGATATTGACACTTGAGGGCTTGCGAGGTTATGTGAAGAATGTCCTGAATGGGATCCAAGGTAATAAGCGCCAGGAAGAGGTGGACAGGTGACAGGGACGTTTTGTAAAAGCAGGCTTTCCGCAAAATGTATTGAGGTTCTTTTGAGTCAATGTCGCTCTGAATGAGGGCATATGTCAACAGGCTCTGCTGCTGCTGCTGCTGCTGTTGTTGTTCATGAGCTCTGTGGGTTTGCGATGCTTGCTGTTGCTGGACGAATAGCAGTCGCTATTATTATTTCAGTCTTTGTATTATCTCGCAAAACTTCCACTGTCATTTTTAGTGATGCCATGTTAGCCAGCCAGAGGGCACTGTGGGACAACATCCAGACCACAATGGAAACGTTGAGAGTTCAAATCTTGGTCAGGGGTCACCTTTGCCTCCAGTGAAGCACTTCATGGGAAATCAGCATGATTATCCGGTAGCAGATTAATCTCCTCCATAAAATTGTGGAGTTACCATCACTGCCTTCAGACTTCCGATTGACATAAGAAATACCCAACACTCATTTGGGCATGGAACGTGTGGTCTTTGTAAGGTCAACAATTAATGTACTCCATCATCATGTATGGTGGTACAGTGGTTTGTGCACTGTCATGTGAACTAGATAACCGAATCTTGATTTGAAGCTTTCGTGACTGCAGGAATCCATACTCTGTTTTACTATAATTTTATACCTACGTGACTTTACTGAAAGAACCAAAGAGTACAGATAACCGAAGTTTGATTCAAGGCCACGGGTCTCATTAGTGGCGAGTGATATCTGAATAAACCCCGGGCCTTCCTTCACCAACATGCACTGAGCAGCATGTTGCGAAGTATGGTTAAACGACCTCATTAACACGGCACCCGGAGGCCTTCATTCAAAGAGCTGTGCAGTGTTTTCTTTATTATCACATACATATTCAATCTTCGTGTTTCGTACGACGGGAAGAGATTATAAGGGGACTGACGATTTACTCAGTGGCTTCCTGAGACGCTAGGTGGACAAATGCAGTGCCCTCCCGCAGGAGACATCTGTGACTGAATGACTGCAGCAAACCCTAATTTTCCAGAATGGCTAGAAATGTTACATTTGACACATATGAAGTGTATGCTCTCAACGAGACAAATCTTACAAACAAAATATATGCGTTTGGGCGCCCAAAAATAATGCCTGAAAGCTGATTCATTTTACCTATAGGGTAGACAGACCCCATTTTATTTTCTATGGTTCTTTCGATAAAGTCACGTAAATATAATAAATAAATGGGAATTAAGTGCTTAAAAATATCACGTTTCGATCGCAACACAAGCGGTCGTCATCAGGTTGATAGCCAGTAGGCTTGCAAAGTACCATCGTCTTCGAGAAATCAACAAAGATTCGTTCATGAAGCCATCCATATTTACAGACACAATTTCAACCGAGAGGATGGTTATAAGCTCAGCAATAATTGGAAAGATGTCATCAACCACTTTGCGTCATGGCTTGATTTGTGTTTTCTTGTCCACCTCCACCGTCAGCAGTGTGGGTGTGTGGAGCGAGGTGCAATGCTTTGATTGGTGTAGACCTCCTGCCGGTGTTGGAGCCCCTCCCACATTAACATAAGCTGCCCCGCCCATCTCTAAACCTTTATAAACAGCTTGCCCTCAGAGGCTAACCTCCCTATTCCTGATGACGACCGCTTGTGTTGCGATCAAAACGTCGTGATATTTTTAATCACTTTATTTAAAAAAAAAAAGCTACGTGACTTTACCGAAAGAACCATAGAAAATGAATTCCTGCAGTCATGAAAGTTGAGTCAAAATTTACGCCCCATTTTACACAGCTAGTTAACGTGGGTCACACTATGTGGTTAACACGGGGAGATGCACGTGGATAGGACGAGATGCGTGACACATCAGTGTGTAATGAGCGACTTCCTCGACACGTCGTGTAGAGGGGACTCTTCTTTATTCCACGTACGGCACGGCACAGGCCAACGTTATCGGCGTCCTCTCCAGGTACACACTTAGATGTTACGTTCTACAGACTACACACAAGGTTGCTCACACGGTGGGTTCTGCCCGTCCGCTCCCGGTCTCGCCGCTGGCTGACGGCGTGCCGGGGAGGGCGGTGGAGCTCCGCCAGAGATCCGCCGGAGATCCGCCGCATGGCCGAACGACGGAGAGCGATGACGGCTAGCAGCGACGAGTCCAGACCCAAGACTCCACACACGGACCCCGAGTCCTCCTCCGCCTCCACTTATATAGCCGCAGGCGCGGCTAGGCTCCGCCTCCGGCCACACCCTCTCATGGAACGTTCCAGCAGTTCTCGGAGTTTCTCGGCCGGCCCCGGCCCTCACCCTTGACCCCAGATACCTTCCCCTTTGGGGATTGGATAATGTTTATAGTGGTGCCTGTACCCGTGATACCCTTTACCAACCAGTAGATGTCACTATATCATTACAAATGTAAATCAATCCTCGTCAGGATTCTTCACAATAGCAGAATGTATGTGGTGTGGGGGGGTTTCACGAGTATAGATGTCTTTGTGTGATGTAAACATTAATTTCCACACCCGTGGGGGTCATGCACACCTTATGCCATGCTACATTTGCACAAATGCTTTGTTACGCAGTTGAGCCGTACAACCTTTGTGGAAGGTGGCGCAGGCTGTGGCACGGATACTGTGTAGGATAAACAAAAACATTTGCGTGAACGTCAGCCCCACGTTGTGGCAGAAAACCAGTCATACAACACGTGACACCTTCCTAACACCGTGCTGATTAGAGGTGTGGGGGCATATAATGTCAGCAGCTTTGGTTTAAACAAGCCAGACTGCTGATGAAACACTAAGTGACGAACCAGTACAGAAGTTTGCTTGTATTAAACCAAATGTTGCTAAAATTCTGCACTGATGGGATGTGTAAAATACTTTTTGCGTGTGTGGAGGGACAGATGTATGTAGGAGGCGCATTGCTGATCTAACTCTGTGGTGGACATGTGTGTTGTGGCCTTCGTAACCCGTGGGAGTACGGGGGGGGGGGGGGGGGGCCTTGACTGGGGGCCGACTGCCAACGACGTTGAGAACACTGTGTTACAAAAAAAACATTTGTTTTGTGCCTGGGTAGTAAGTGTTAATTCCTAATTGCTTATGCCTCTAAAGTACAGAAAATGGCTATTATTCCCCACAAACTTTGCTTTTGTGACCAGGACAGTGATATTTTGAAATTTACCTATTTTCAATGACAAAACGTGGTGTGCATTTGTGTCTTTCGTTCACATAAAATCCTGGTCACAAAAGCAACGTTTTTGGGGAATCATAGCCATTTTCTACACTTTTTAGGCATAAGCAATAAAAAATAACACTTAGTACCCAGGAACAAAAATGGTGTTGTCCAGTAAAGTGTAACCACTGCTCTGGGTGGTGACTCGGGGGTGCAGTGCCCTCTGCTGGCGATGTGGGGACATCGCACGGCGAGGCGCAACGCCGGTCGACAACCCCCAATAACCCCCCGTATCGATGATACATTTTGCAAATATAATTATCAGAGCATGTTTTATTTGCATGTTTTCACAAGCATGTTAATGGAGACTTGATGCCTTGCAATAGGTATATATTTGGTATTTGAACATCTTAACACCTGCTTTTTTTGCTAGAAAGGGTAAAACCTTTTTGTTCTTCATCAAACCCCCCGCGCTCAACGGGGGGTCGCTTCATCTCGCTGCTGCTCCCTCTGCCTGGAGTCGCCTCGGCCCTGCACGGTGCAGCAGAGGCGCTGCCCGTGTCTCAGTTGGCCTCGACCTTTCTCCTCCGCCTCCTCCCCCCTCTGCCCATGACGCCCTCCCTCATTGACTCTCTTCCCCAGCTAAACATGGACACAGAAATCAAAGCCAGGCCCCTCTTCTCTCTCCCTTGGCCCTCTCTCGGTGTCTCCCATCACGCGAGACGCGAGCCCCCAGAGTTCAGTCCCAGGAGAAGACTTCCTCCACAATTACGGCTAATCGCCTGATGGAGCTGGTTGTTATAATCACCAGCGAAACGTCGAACTCGAATTGTGAATGTTGTGGGTTTACTCTCCAACACACTGGGGTAGTCATGAATTGGCACGTTTCGTTTACGTGACGAACCTTACTGCTGATGGTGGCTGGTTTAACGACACATTTATATTTAGACGATCTCACCTAAAATAAAGCGCCGCTATGGATAGTAGTTGTGGATAGTATTGGTAGCGAAAGCCATCCAGCTCAATGCCAGACACAGTGCAACCCTCGGTCGTGTCGGACTGTCGTGCTGATGCTGCTCTCTCGTCTCTCTCCACCGTGCCAACTCCCCGTGCCACACACGCCACACACTCCTGTGCTGTGAGTGTGTGTGTGTCTCTGCGGCGGGGACCTGAAAGACCATTGGACATCGGCACTGCCGACACCAGAGCTGGAGTCACACATCTTGGCACGGCCGTGATTTGTGCAACAGTCACATTGCCGATCTCACGGTGTACATTGACCAAACTTGAAACACGACCGGCAGAGTATGACCTGGGCTCATACACAGCGGCAGCAGTAGCAGCAGCATCAATCACCGTCGTGCGAACACTTATCAGGACCCTGCTGAAAGAGAGTCAAGACTCTGAGAGGTGTTCCTGGGCTAAACAAGCACAACCGCGACGATAATAATCTGAGCACAGCTGCAAGCTCCGTGCGAGCAGGGGGGGGGGGGGGCTACTCTGAGAGTTTTATTTGGCTCCGAGTGAAGCATTCCACGTGTAGCCATGGCGCGGTCTCCATCCGCAGTCGAGGGCCACGCGGCGCCCAAGTGGCGGGGCCCTGCGCGACCACCCACGACCCGCGCGGGTCACGAGCGGGGCCATCTGCGCCCTCTCTGTTGCCAACCAACAGAGGCCGCCTGCCCCCCTCCTCCTTCTCCCACCAGCCCCCCACCGTGCATGTGTGGCCACTGGCAAGAGGCTGGCTCACTCAGCGTGCGTCTCGCGAAGATCCGTTCCGTCATCTCCACCCAGCGTCTCTGTCGTCGCTCGGACGCGTGGAGCACGCGGCCGCGGTGTTTCTCGGCGAGTGGCCCAACCCACACCCCGGTCGGCCCCTGACCGTCAGGGCAGTGGTGGTGCCGGCACCATGAACCACTCCCTGTGGCTCAAGGCGGAGGAGATGGTGTCCTGCTACTACGAGCAGCTGTACCAGACGACACTCTTCCAGCTGTCCCTCGTGCCCGTGGCCCTGCTGTATCAGAGGCTCGTGGTCAAGCGGCGCATCTCGATCCAGCTAAGGTAGGGAGGGCAGCAGTGACCGTGCTGTGCTGATGAGTCCGCATAAGAACGAAACCAGGCCACCGTTGTCTACCTCCGTGTCGCTGCTGCTGCTGTCACATTTGCCGAAATGTATTTTGATGGTAATCCATAAACACCAAAAAAAAGTTATCCAGGAAATGCTGATGGTGTTTTGCTCATTACGAGTGCGTTGTTGTTAAAATCTGAAGGTATAGGAGACTTGGATCAGCCTCTCTGCACTTATACTTAAGACTACACAAGACTTCACGAGGCATCATAAGTTTGTGTGCGGTATTGTTCTTTGTGGTGAAGGGGTGCCCGTATGCTATACGGAGTGTCACTGCCAATAACATATGGATGGTAATCCAGCAGAATGTGTTTAGCAAGCATGACTGCTGCTTATTGGTTGTGCTGTCAACGAGACTGAGAATGTCGAGGCTGGGCCACGTGTGCTCGCTGTGACAACGCAGCAGCTCCTGCTGCTACGTCGGGCGGGTATTGGTCTGGGAGGGCAGTGGCTGCTGGACACCAAATAGCTCGAAGTCTGTTGGAGATGAGCTTCGTGGCTTCAATGAAGAGTCGAGGGAAATTACAATCATAGCTCCAGATCGTAAAAACACTCGGTGAAATGTAAGTTTAAATCGAAAAACGTTGTGCGCAGAGGTCACGAAAGTCTGCTCATGGGCCATGCTCCCGACGGCTCGTGCCCACGCCCAGGTGCAGGTTAGTCGCTGAGATGCCAGGTGAGTCGCAGGTGAAGAATCACGCGGGCTACTTTGGGCCACTATTGTGATGCCTAAATCGTCAAGTGTTGGCTGTGGGTGCCATCGAGCCACATTGGGCATTTTTAATATTGAACCTTCCCTCGGATTGCTGAGGCAGGAATTAAAGTGGCACCCAGAGGGCAGTGACCCAGGGGACGACCTCGAACCTGATGGTGGTGGTGATGAGGTTGACGACCGCGATGAGCTTGAACGAATGAACTTTGGAGACCCGGTGTTGATTTTACAACTTCGGAATCAAACGAAAGGACGCAATGGCGATGCGTGGTGGCACCAGCGTGACGAGCACACGGATCTCTCTGCACCTTGTGGCTCTCATCTCGCCCGTGCGATGCTGCACTCCGCTGCTCCCTCTCCCCGCCTGCAGGTACCTGCTGCTGCTCGCAGGGGGCCTGTCCGTGCTGCTCGCCTCCTTCGGAACCTCCGCGGCCCTCGTGCTCCTCCCGGCCGCCGGCTCCGTAACGCTGACGCGCTGCGTGCCGCCAGCAGGCCTCTTCCACCGCACGCTGGTGCTGCAGATGGCGTGGCAACTGCTGTGCCACCTCCACGTGTTCTTATCGCAGCAGCATGGCGTGGGCACGGACAATGCGGGGTAAATTACCTTCACAATACCGTCGTCATCATCGCCGTCACCATCGATCATTGTAAATCCACTGCTGGATGAAGGCCTCCACGCCCCACAGTCCCGCAGTGCCACGGTCTCACTCCTGCACATTCACTGATCTTAGCTCACTGTAAATGGCAGCAATACCTTCCAAAACCTCACCGGTGTTAGGTGTTGGGCAAAGACGACGTCGCATTGTCCAAGGTCGCTGGCGTCTCGTGGGGGAGACGCTCCTCGTCTGCTCGGCGCCTCGTTCCTGAGCCTCCCCTTATCGAGTGAATTTAATCAACGAGGCGTTTGAGAAATGTTCTAAATTCCTCGACCTTGCAAGCGGCACCTCCGATTCGCACGGTTGGCTACGTATGGTGCAAAATAAGTTCAATCAAATGTACGCGTGTGGGTGTGCAGAGGGAGACTTAAGCTGCAATCGCTCACTCCTGAATAAAGTAGTTTATTTAAAACAAATAGAGCGGCTTGTTGAATGGGGGGCCATGCTGTGCGTGCTGTCCTGCAGGCACGCCCTGGTCATGCCCAGCCTGATGCTGCTAACGCAGCGGGTCACGTCCCTCGCTCTCGACGTCGAGGAGCGCCGGCCCCGGTGCCACGGGGGGCGCCCCGCGGCTCTCCAGCACCTCGCCTACCTCCTCTACTTCCCCGTCATCCTGGGCGGCCCGCACTGCTCCTTTTGCGACTTCGTGGATTACGTGGAAGGCGCCGACTCCGATGGAAACCGCGACCTGAATCCGAGCCGCTGCGTGTGCAAGAAACTCGTCGCGTTCTTCCCCCTGGACGTGCTCCGGGGGTGGCTCCTGGCGCGCTGCTTGTGCCACTGGGAGCCCGCCTTTCGCGACGAACGCGACTTCATGCTGAGGTCGTCCTTCCTGCAGAGAATGTGGCTGCTGTGGGAAACAGCCCTGGCCATCAAGCTGTGCTACTACACCCAGTGGCTCCTGGGGGAGGCCCTGACCGTCGCCGCGGGCCTGGGCTACAGGAGGAGCCGGCGGGCCGACGACGACGCCGGTCCGGGGGGGGGCCGCCCCGTGGGGGAGCCCGGGGCGCTGGGCACGGGGCCGTCCGGCGGCAGCATGGCTGCCGCATGGGGCGGGCCGCTCGCACGGAGGCCGCGGGGACTCGAGGGGGAGACGGCAGCACGTGCGAGAGGAGACGGAGCGGACGCCGCGAGGGCCGCGCTACGCGGGTTGGGATCGCGGACCCCGTCGGCCGGACGGGCGGGGGGGGCGCCGACCGAACGGGTGAAGGGGGGCGGCGGCGGCGGCCAGTGGGACGAGCTGTGGGACCTGGACGCGTGCGCCCTGGAGGGCGCGTGCCGCATGTCCGCCCTGGCGCGCACGTGGAACCGCACGGCCGCGCTGTGGCTGCGCCGCGTGGCCTTCGCGCGCTCGCCCTGCCACCCGCTGGCCGCCACCTTCGCCTTCTCGGCGCTGTGGCACGGCCTGCACCCGGGCCACTGCGCGGCCATGGCCGCGTGGGCGCTCGGCGTGGAGGCCGATCGCCGCGTGAGGGCCGCGCTGGCGCCGCGCTGGCGCCGCTCTCGGCCGTGCCGCGCCGCCGCGTGGCTCTGGACGCAGGCGACGTTCGCGTTCGTGCTGCTGCTCGCGGAGTTCCGGGGGCGGCGCGGGGGCCTCGTGCTCGTCACGCGCTGCACGAGCGGCCTCGTCCCGCTGCTGCTCTGCCTGCTCGCGGTGCTGCTCGTCCCCAGGCAAACGGTGCCGTCGACGCTCCCGAAGGAAGCGGCAGCAGCGAAAACGGCAGAAGCCGGAGCCCATGCGCTCCCTTCCACGATTGCAGCCATGTAATAATAACTCACCACTGCTGGATTTCACCAGAAATAAAAAAAGATGTTTGGCATTACTCACTAGTCTACTGCTTTGATCCTCATCTTCTTCTTTCGTACGATGGGATAAGCTTACGATGGGAAGTCGAGTTTGGCGATCCACTGGGTGGCTTTCCGATGCACTTTCTGTGGCCGCAGCACAGACGCTGGCGGAGTGTGGCCGGTCCCTGCTGGTGGTGAACGTGAATAAAGGCGCAGGCCACGAGCTATCGGCGTGTTCCGTCTGTCGCTTTCGCGCTTCCCGTGTTCGCGACGAGACTTGGTGCCCGTGGCACGCCTTGCACGGGCGCACGTTCGACACAAACGGACGAGCGATTTGAAGCGGAAGGGACTCGGACGGCGTGGAGGGGACGGGGCTGCACCGAGCGCCACTCGCCCGCCCCGATTCCTCTCCTCCGTCGCCAATGCTGCCGGCTCCTGCTTGGCAGGTGGCCCATTTTCTACAATTACCTGGCGCCCGAGTCCCCCAGGCTATTAACGCCGTGCCGATAAACCCCGGCCGCTCGTGTGAGCTCACTCGCACACCTCTCCAGACACGTGCGTCATCATCGCCACTTAGTGGCGGGTGACAGCTGTTACTGTTCATATCTTATTGCGACTACAAATAGACATAAGTGTAGTTGTGCAGAGTACTTGTTTGAGTAACAACATAAATAACCAGCCAAGATTCATCTTTCCAATACCGCTTCCTTTAAGTAAAATAAAGTAAGAATCGCTTTAGACATCCCATCGGAAACACAGCCTTCTGGGAGTGACACTTTCTCAGCAGTACTGGTTCAAACAAGAAAACGAACCCTCGAATGGTGTTAACATTCAGTCAGGGTTGCTTAAACCAATGCTGGTGAACTTCTGGATGCTTAGACAAGGACCCTCTCTATTATTATTATTATGACTCCCTCTCAGATGTGCACATCCACATCATCATCATGACTACGACAGCAACTGGGCTCAATTGTGATCACCAGGTACAGCGAGACGACCGAGCCATCGGCTACCATCGCCTCTCATCCACGCACTTCACTCAGTCGTGCTCCAGTGGTCGCATCATCGGTTACGTCAAGATTATCGTTACCACCACACAAGTACAACTACGCTCGTTGACTCAGCAGAACCTCACCGAGTCTCGTCCCTCTTTCACGAGGATGCTGAAGTTGGGGGCGACGACTGCTGTGTGGGAACCCCAGTCGGGTCGCTGTGCGGTCTCATCTTCAAATTGGAAAAATTTGCACCGCGATGCCGGCACCGAATGGCCGGCTCTTGCGAATGACGTCACGGGATCTTGAACGTCCCTTGTGACGCGGACGCCACAGCGCTGACCAGGGGCAGCCGCTGGATTTGAACCGTGAACCTCTGCCACGAGCAGTGAGGCCGCGACGCGCGTCGGAGTCAAAGGGGAAGTCGGCACGCGAGCACAACGGGAAACAAGAGACCCCGGGCGCGCGAGTGATACACGCCGCACTTTACTCTGGGAAAATCGAAGCAAACGTTACAGGGTCGCGAGACACGTCGCACGAGCGGGACACGGCGCCGCTGGAGCCAGGGACAGCGCCGTGGGGCTGCACTTTCCCTGCCACGCCACGGGACAGTAGATGCGATGCGTTTTATCAGTGGCAAGACCCCAATGGCAAATCAATGCCTACAAAATAAAGATTATTATTTAAATAACATTTACAAAATCTCAAATATTGTACAAAATAGTGCAAAGTATTCGTCAAGTTTTTTTTGACAAGACAGAAGCTGTCGATTGATCAATAGCCGGCCAACAGCTAGCCTCTACCCTCACGGTTACGATGAGGCTCAAGGAACAAGACTCGGGCGGAGGAGCAGGAGGAAACGAGCGCACTCCCAGTGAGAGAACCGCTCTCAACGGGAGCCAGCCGTGTCCATAAATAACAGACAACAATTACGCGGCGATTTGATGTAAATTAACTGACCGAATGTGAAGCCACGATCTCCCACGACGATTACTGCGACGGAGCCGACGGCGAGTGGCGGAAAGGCGTCCCGCCGAGACGATCGCGGCACCACAACACGACGGTTGACCTCCGCCCTCCGACGTGACGAGTTTCGCGGTTCGCGTCATCGGGACGTCACCGAGTTTGTAACGCCAGTGACGGTTGATGAGGATTAAATGTTCATCGATAAAAAGAGTACTTTATTACAATCATATCTTCGAACTTCAAATGTAAAACAATTCGATTTTCCACCGCATTTACCAAGCACGGCAGCTTCATACAAAATAGAAATGAATTTCACCCCCCACTCACACCCTCAAAAAATAACCGCTTCTTTACCGAAAGCGAACCTAGCAAAGCCGCAGCAGCTCCACCGCGCGGGCCATGCAATCGACCGTCGTGAAGGCGAAAAACTGGCAGCGGAGCCAGTCCTCCAGATTGACGCCGCCACCCTCCGGCCCGTCCTGCGCCAGCGCCTTCTCCGCGAAGACCACCATGAGGAGGGCGCGCCGCACGTCCAGCCAGTTCCGCAGCACCTCCCGCAGCCGGCGGCCGTCGAGCCGGGGGCCGCCCAGCTCCCTCGTCAGGTGCTCGGCCTGGGGCCCCCACGCCAGCAGCTGCAGCGCGACGCGGGCCTCCGCGATGGGCAGGCGTGACGCGGGGTCCGGCTGCAGCAGCTGGAAGGCGAGGCGCTGCAGCCCGGACGAGTAGCAGGACAGGCGCAGGAAGGGCGGCAGGTCGTCGGTGGAGTAGCCGGACGCGCGCAGGCCGGGGTCGTCCTCGAACGGGTTGGGCAGGTGCAGCATCTCGTAGATGAGGATGCCGGTCTGGAACTCGTCCAGCTTGCGGTACTGCGCCGCCGACAGCAGCTCCGGAGCCAGGCGCAGCTGCTCCGGCGGCGCCGGCCCGCCCGGCGGGCCGGCGCCGGTCTCGCCCCTGTCGTGGCGAGCCCGGTTCTTGGGCTGCTGCTGCTGCTGCTTGGCCTGCAGGAAGTTGCTGAGGACGAGGCGAGGCGTGGGGTCGCCGGGCCGGCCGCTGCGCACCAGCAGCAGGTTCTCGAGGCGCAGGCCGCAGTGCGTGACGCCGTGTACCTTGAGGTGCTCGAGCGCCGCGCACAGCTGCAGCAGCAGCAGGCTCGCGAGGCGCTCGTAGCGCTCGGGCTCGGCGCGGTGCTCCTCCGCCGAGGTCCTCACCAGGTCGGCCAGCGTCCGGTGCGGCGCCTCGCGCGCGATCACCACCAGGCGGCCGGGGTCGGCGCCGTCGGCGTCTTCGCCGTGCGGCAGCAGCGAGGGCGGCACCTCGGCGACGAAGTGGCCGCACTCCTGCTGGATGTTGTAGTGCACCGGCACGCCGCGCGTCACCGTCGCGCTCTGCTGCTGCCGCCGCCGCTGCGAGGCGTCGGCGCGGCCCTTGCACACCTGGGAGAGAGCGCGTCAATGGCGCGGTTAGCGCAGGAGACGCGGCCGCGCCGACGACAAACACGGCGAGCGCCGGGGTACGAGCGGCCGTACGCGCGGGGAAAGTGTCCCCAGTGGCCACGCGACGGACACGCGTGGCCACGGAGCTACGTGGCCGAGTCCGACGAGGGACTCACAGCGCCCCCCCCTCTGCCACCCCCCCACCCCCTAAGTGCCTTGCGGCCGCCACTCGTGCCTTCCGCTGCCTTTGGTCGCAAAAATGCAACGCACAGTGGCGCCCGTCCCATGCAGTTTCCAGGCAATTTCGACAATAACAACCCAGTGGCTGTGATGATGGTGGCGATGGTGATGGAGGCGGTGGTGGCGTTGGCGGCGATGGCAGTGGTGGTGACGGTGGCGGCGATGGCGACGCGTCACCTTGATGGCGTAGGCGTGGTCGGGGTCCTTGGCGTACGTGGCGGCGTAGTAGGTGCCGTCGCCGGCCTCGCAGCACGGCTTGTTGCTGCGCAGCTTGAAGTCGGGCCAGCTCTCCTCGCGCAGCCCCACGCGTGCCGCGCACCCGCGCATGAACACCTGCTCGCACTTCGCGGCGAGGCGGCGCGTGGCCTCGGCCTGCAGGCTCAGGATGCGCGCCGACACCGCCTCCGCGCTCTCGATGTTGCGGTAGACGCCGCCGGCCGGCGCGACCGCCTCGCCCCCCCCGTCGGCCGAGCCGGGCTTCGAGCCGGGCCGCTGCCGCGGACCGCGGCAGGCGTGGGCCGCGTCGAGAGCCGGCGCGGGGAACGGGGAGCCGTCGCCATCCGCGAGCGAGTCGTCGCTCTCGGGAATCGAGTCCTGCGACGTCGACTCGAGGGAGCGCGGCGGCCGCTGCCCGCGCGACGCCGGCGACGCGCGGCGCTCGGGAGTCGCGTCGCCGGAGAAGGCCGCGTGCACCGGGGAGCACTCCACGCTGTGCGACTTGAACAGCTGCTGCTGCCGCGGGCCCCGCTGCGCGCCCCCGCCCCTGTCCTTCCTGGGCACGCGGCGGCCCAGCGGGTCCGTGTGGCTCAAGCCCTGCTGCTGCTGCTGCTGCTGCGCCCTCCCCGCCGCCTCGTGCCCCCCTTCCTCGCCCTTCGTCTCGCGCCGGTCGCGGGGGGCGGACGCGTCGGGCCCGGCGTCGAACCCGCTCGGCGACGCTGACGCGGAGGAGCCGGCGCGGCTGCCGCTCCTCTTGGCGGGGAGGGGGGGCGGGGGGGCCAACTCCGGAGTGGCGGCCCGGCCGTCCGCGTCGGCCGGGCCCTCGAACGCGATGGCGTCCTCGGAGGCCTCCCTCAGGGGACGCGGGTGTTTCTCCGGGGCCATTCCTGCCCGGAGCCGACCTGCGAAGACACCGGCGAGGTCACGCGGGCGCCACGTTACGGCCCCGACGCCGGCCGATGAAGCTGCGACTGAACCGAGAGGGGAGAATAATAAATAAGGAAGCGTGGACATACGGCCGGGCGCGCGACGCACTCCCCGCGTTCCAGCAGGCGGCCGTGCGGTGTCCGTCTCGAACTCACCAAGCGCACCGACGGAAGAGCGAGCGAACTATTCTCGCTCTCCCATGCGGAGAGACGGGGCGGCGTCACGCGCACCCCTCCCCCCGCGAGTCGCGGCGCGCACGCCGCGGCCGACGCCTCTCGGCGCTCAGCCCAGACGCACGGCTCCGCACGTCCCTACTCTGGATGCTCGACTTGGCCGGAGAGACGAGCGCGGTGCGCTACGCCTCGTACGGGGGGGGGGTGGGGGGTGACGAGGTCGAGGTCTAACGCGGAGGGCGGTTCGCGGCGCCCCGAGAGGTGGGCTGCTCTCCCTGTCGAGCGTCTCCTCCGATTGCGCCGAGGTCCCCGTGGCCACACCTTTCGCGGCGCATATTTCCAAACGTCCCAACTTTGCCTGAGGCTACGTCACTTCCCAAGCGGCGAAGCCACTGGCTGTCGGCTACGCGGAGAAATGCTGAAAATGTGGCTCAGTTAGTCAAGGCAGCGGTGAGGCATGACTCGATCCAGCGAAACCCGCGTCGCGCAGAGATGAGTCTGATAGGACGCTACTGTACCCGCCAACCACTATAGGCTGTAGCGCCGCAGCTCACGGACAACCCCTGACGAGACAACCCCGAACGAGACAACCTGAAGCTTTTACTTGGCGGATTTCATAAGCATTGCCAAAGTCTCTACGGCTCAGCGGTAGGGCGAGCGGTTCAGAGTCGTCGAGAGTTTACAACCTCGTTGCCAGTTGACTCGGCCAATCATCCCTCCCCTCAGGGGGCGCTAAAGTGAATACCACTTTGTGGGAGAGTCAAGAGTGGTTTGCCATACGGATAGATTCGCCCCCGCCAATGCAGAGTTCCCACTCCTGGCTCGGGGCTGCGAAGAGGACGTGAGCCACCGGCGTCTCGATGCGCCTTTGAGCAGCGCGGGCGCTCCGCTCCTTGCCGTGCCCCTCGCGCGTGTCAGGGGAAACTCCACTCCAGAGGAGCGTTGCGGGAGTTTAGCAATGGGGAGGGGGGGGGGTGAATTTGAGGCGTCGCTGCGCGTGGGTTCAGGCCGCCACGGCCTCACGCACGAGGGTCCCACAATCGGGCATCGAGGCAGCTTTAAGCTCCTCGCCCCAACTCACACTCACTCCTCCAATACACACTCACTACTCACACTCACTACTCCAATACACACACACTCACATTCACCTACTATGATACACACACTAACTACTCTAATACACAACACACAACTGATACAAAGACAAAGATCCCCCATACAGACTTAAAAGACTGTGAGGCAAGTGGTGCTTGTGAGTCCCATGAAGGCCGGCACGACACACGAGGGGGTGGGTGGCCAACACCACGCCCTGCCACCTTTGTCTTCCCAGTGCTTTTTATTTACACATACCAAGTACTCATATGAGGCCGAGTCGACCTAGTGGAGGCCCAAGACCGGTTCCGATTTTCTCCACTACTATTGGTCTCGAGTGGGAATCCAACTTGGGTGGCTGGGTTCTAAGAGCAGCGCGCTAACCGTTGCACCACCGCTCTAATGCGCAACGCGCACGACAGCGTGGATAATGTCCCTCCTGTCATAGCCGACACGCATCCCGGCGGCTTGTGAGTCACGCCGCTCTCGCCGCCGCGCGAGACTCATGGCGCCGCGCGGGCTGGGTAAAGGCGCAGCCCTGCAGCAGGGGCTCAAGTAGCCCCGGGGCAAATTAAATGGACGCCCCTGCTGTGGGTCCACACGCACCGAGCGAACAATGCCGACGATGCGACTTGACGCTCGCTGGGTCGATACAGGACGGGACCGACTGATGCTCGAGAGCAAATAACTCCGGGGGGGGGGGGGGGGGGGGGGGGGCTGGGCAGCGGCTCCACGCCGCCCGGGTCACGGCGTCTCTCGACGCGGACAGCGATGATCACTCCTCAGGAGGCGTCTTCCACTCGCCCTCCTCCCGGCTCACCGCCCCCGTCCGGCTATTTACACAACGCCGCTCGACACTCGAGGCCGCAACCTCCGTCTCGCAGAGCCTCCACGGACTCGCTCGTCCCTGCCTGCCTCCTCCCTCTTCCCCTCTCGCTCCGCTACCCTCCCCGTGCCCCTGCACTCTCGTAATCGAGCCCTCCGCTCGAGAGGGAGGTCGCTCCCTATTCGCCGCTGCCCCCTCTGTCTGCGGTTCCCCCGCGTGGACGTCCACGCGGCGGAGCCTCGAGACGTTTCTCTCCTCCTCCTCCTCCTGTCTCTCCATTATTTTGTCGAGGAATCGCTCGGTCCCCCTGGGGCCCTCGCGGGCCCCTCGCGGCTTCCCTCCGCGGGCCCCGGGCACGGCCCATCAGCCGCAGGGCCTACTGGGAAACCTACGGTGTGTTACTTACATTCTCTACGACAATGCTACTTTTATTTGTTGCTGTGTATTAGTGCAGAGCAATCCCACGACGTAACCCACAGAGAGATATCTCGCCTATAATCATCTAGAATCACGTGACCTACCTTGCCAGTATCAAAATATAAGAACAGGGTTTACCCTTTCCGGCAATAAAACAGTTGTGTTCAGATGTAAATCACCAAACAGAAACCTTTGCAAGGATTCATGTCTGCATTAACTACAATACTTGTGGTGAACGTGCAATAAAAAAGCATGCTCCGGCAGGAAGTATATGCATCGTCCTTGCATGTTTTTTTTGCATGTTCACCACCAGTATATGTGGTTAATGCAGACACGATTCCTCGCAAAGGTTTCTGTTTGTCGTTTTAACATCTGAACACAACTGTTTTATTTTGCCAGAAAGGGTAAACCCGATTCGTATTGACATCTCGAAGTTCAGCAGCACTGATTTAAGCAAACCGAGCTCTGCTGATGAGACGCTGAATGACGAAACCGATACTGCTGGAATGATGCACGGCCGTATGGCTGATGGGATGTGTGACAAAGAACTTTCCATCTCACATGGAGGGTCACATTGGGGAAGGAGGCGAATCGTCTGATTGGTTACTTGGGTCAAAGAGTTCGGGGGGAGGGGGGGGTAATGGGTACAGTGCATTCACACTGTCACCATCCACCTGTCCCAAGTCCCAGGTAGATGCTGACGCAGTCGGGAGTCACCAGGGGGAGGGGGCGGGGGGAGGGGGGCGGTGACTCACCACCACCAGCAGCACCCTGCGGGGCGGGGAGGGGGGCGGGGGGAGGGGGGCGGTGACTCAACACCAGCACCCTGCTGCGCCTCGTGTGGCTCCTCAGAGAGGGGGGAGGGGTTGAAGGTGGTTGGGGGAGGTGATTGCGTCACCTGCTGCGTGTTTACTCGACGAGTCTGGGGAAGGGCCGGCTAGGACATTCCTGCTGCACGTGACTGCTGCTGCTGCACGTGACTCCTGCTGCTGCACGTGATTACTCCTGCTTCACCTGACTCCTCCTGCTGCCTGTCGTCTCTCAGCCTGGTGGGGATTCACAGGATGGAACTCCCACGACGGCGGGCAATGTCGTCAGATCTCGAAAGCTAAGCAGGTTGGAAGCCTGTCCGGTTCAAGAAATTAGTCAAAAAGCCCAATGCAGGAGGAGCCTAGTGAAAAAAGTCCGGAGACTCAGCGAGGCTTTCCCAGGTAGTTAAACGTCATCATTATTAACTTCCCTTGCTAATCCTTTCGGATGTTCCTGTGGAGACCCCAACGCTTGGACCACACTTTTGGGAGAGCAGAGAGAGAGAGAGTTCAGGCAGGATCGGGGTCTGCGTTGCCGCACAGCTCACAGAGCCGAATGCAGCGAGGACGGCCGTGAGATGGAGAGAGGAGGGGGGCTGTGATGGGGAACCGAGACGTGGAACCGCGGGGTCAGCGACCACGGTGATGACCGAGATCCAGCGCATCACCCCGTGTTGGAGAACGGTCCGCAGGACGGGATCTCGCGGAACTGCGTCTGAGATTCAAGTCCCTGGGGGCTCTGCCCTTACCCAGCGGCGCTGCCGGGGGGACATCTGTCGAGGCGGTCGAAGCAACATTTTCCAATCTCAGAACTGGATGTTTTGATGAAGTAAGTGAAGAACCAAACACGTTACTTGCGGCGCAGCCAGCTCGCGACACTGCTGACCCCGGCTACTCACGGACCCCCCCCCACATTCAAAGCCAGGATGATCTCAGCGGCGCCGTTTCAGTGTTCTGACCCGCGGAGCCTCTTTCTCCCGTACAACATTTGAATACAACATCAATAGCGATGTCACCAGAGGGTGATATGCCCCACGGCCACTTAAAACACATTTTCACGTGAAAAGAAGCTTCAAACACAAGTAAGGCTGGGAGCCTGGCTCGGTGCGACTACAAGGCGGTGTTTTTTTAAAGTATCAATGAGGAAGTACATTTCTCGACTCGATGCTTTCTCACAGGAAGTGAAAATGCGGCCACCAGAGCGCTGGAGGCGGGTGGCTTTGCGCCGAGATGACAAATCGGCAACACCGCAGCCTTTGAAGTGACGTTGGCGCGTTTCCCCGCACGGCAAGAACCCCCAACCACGGTTCCGGTGTCATGAACGATTGATATTTCATCTCTCTCGCTTGGATACCACCCTTGACCGTGCGTGTGCGTACCATGTAAACACGCACACACGCACCATTAGCCCACGTACCGCACCGCACACACCACAAGCCCATGCACACACCACAAGCGCATGCACACACCACAAGCCCACGCACACACCACAAGCCCACGCACGCACCACAAGCGCACGCACGCACCACAAGCCCACGCACACACCACAAGCCCACGCACAAACCACAAGCCCACACACACACCACAAGCCCACGCACACACCACAAGCCCATGTACCGCACTGCACACACCACAAGCCCACGCACACACCACAAGCCCACGCACACACCACAAGCTCATGTACCGCACTGCACACACCACAAGTCCACGCACACACCACAAGCGCACGCACGCACTACGCCGCACACACCACAAGATCACATGCGTGTATACGCACGCGTCGGCATGGGACGGGGTGGTTTGGCTGTAACAATTCCTGGCCGCCTTGGTCTCCCCACTGCTGATGTTTACCCACTAGGTACTCCTTTGAGGCTGAGTCGACCTGGGGGGAGGCCCAACACTGGTTCAGATGTTCAGCACCGATACTGGTCGTGAGCAGAAATTGGCCACGGGCGGACGGCCGTGTTCACAGCACAGCGTGCCGATCACCGCAGCACGATGGCTCTCCGTGCGCGGCGTGCGGTGTGCGGCGTGCGGCGGTGCGGCGTGCTCACCGACGTTGCCGTAGACGGCCGCGAGGGGGCCGCCGGGAGGCCACAGCGCAGGCGAGCGCGGCGACGCTTCGCGCGACGGGGGCGGCGGCGCGCCCCGCGTGTCCGGCGGCGTCTCGGTCTCCGTCGTCGGCGTCGGCGGCGTCTCCCTCCTCGCCGGGCGATCCCCGCGGGCGTGGTTTCCCATCGTCGGCTGGCTCGGCGCGATCGCGACGGACTTCTCGTCCATGCGGACGTCTTCCGAGTTGACGCTTCGGAAGAGAAACGGGTTTGCGTAATTTAAGAACGTGGCCGCGGCGACTCCGTAGACGCGGTGCTAAGCCCGGGCAGGTCGCCGTCCCGGAAAGTCGCGGCGACGCGCGGCGGGGCCGTCCGTCCGTCGCCCGCGAGCGCGAGCGCCCACCTATGCCACGCGCGCGCGGCTCCGGCAAGAGCCCCTCTCGTCTCTCCCCGCCGCACGACTGCGACCTGTCACAACAACTCCCGGCAGCCCGCGCCCGCCTCCACAAACCACACGGACGCGGCGCCGCCGCCGCAGCCGCAGCGCGAGACCACAGGGCGCAAGCACAGGAAGAATGCGTTCGCTCACGCAGACGGTCACTCGGTGGAATTCCTCCACTGTATGGCTCGGCGGGGCCACGATGCAGGAAGAGGTGAGGTTACCTGCAGTGCGGTGGTGAGTAGGTGGGTGGGTGAGTGAGTGAGTAAGTGGGTGAGTGTGTTTTGCGACCTGCTTTGTGGTGGATGAGATGAAACAGTCTCGTAGACCGAGTCCTCAATAAGTGAAGTTCCCAGAAATCGTCACTCATGGTAGCAGCGGTCAAAGAGTGACAAGGAGGCGAGTGAGTGGCGTGGATCCGTGACTGTTGGATCATCAATCACCCTGACTGCTGCCTCACGATGACGTCTATCCGGTGCAGCCAGGTATGAAACGAGCGCTTGCAACCCAGATGTGACGGCAGTCGAATTCCAGCGAGGCAGAATTTGTGCTCTGTGCAGTCGTGATAATGATCTGCACGGCTCCTTGTCACGCCCGATGAAAAGCACCAGTGTGATTGGGAGCTCATGTTTGGGTAACTTCACGTTGGCGCCTAAAATAAACAAAGCCCTCAGCCCCGAGGCAGAAAACGGCTTTGCACATGCATGCTCTGCGCCTTCATCTCTCCTCTAGCCCGTGAAGCTGCTTGAGCATGCAGTGGTTCGCATGCAGGCTGCACAACCCAGCCAACGCAGCCTTGGAGGAGCTCACTGATGGGATTGTGTCCGGAGAACGCACAAATTCCACACACTCTCTGTAAAACAGAGGAAGAACACGCAAACTCCACACACACTCACTATAACACAGAGGAAGAACACACAAACTCCACACACTCTCTCTGTAGAACAGAAGAACACACAAACTCCACACACACTCTGTGTAGAACAGGAGAACACACAAACTCCACACACTCTGTGTGTAGAACAGGAGAACACACAAACTCCACACACACTCTGTCTCTGTAGAACAGGAGAACACACAAACTCCACACACTCTGTGTAGAACAGGAGAACACACAAACTCCACACACTCTGTGTAGAACAGGAGAACACACAAACTCCACACACTCTCTCTGTAGAACAGGAGAACACACAAACTCCACACACTCTCTGTAGAACAGAAGGAAAACACACAAACTCCACACACTCTGTGTAGAACAGGAGAACACACAAACTCCACACACTCTCTCTGTAGAACAGAAGGAAAACACACAAACTCCACACACTCTGTGTAGAACAGGAGAACACACAAACTCCACACACTCTGTCTCTGTAGAACAGGAGAACACACAAACTCCACACACTCTGTCTCTGTAGAACAGGAGAACACACAAACTCCACACACACTCTGTGTAGAACAGGAGAACACACAAACTCCACACACACTCCGTGTAGAACAGGAGAACACACAAACTCCACACACTCTGTGTAGAACAGGAGAACACACAAACTCCACACACTCTGTGTAGAACAGGAGAACACACAAACTCCACACACTCTCTCTGTAGAACAGGAGAACACACAAACTCCACACACTCTCTGTAGAACAGAAGGAAAACACACAAACTCCACACACTCTGTGTAGAACAGGAGAACACACAAACTCCACACACTCTCTGTAGAACAGAAGGAAAACACACAAACTCCACACACTCTGTGTAGAACAGGAGAACACACAAACTCCACACACTCTCTGTGTAGAACAGGAGAACACACAAACTCCACACACACTCTGTGTAGAACAGGAGAACACACAAACGCCACACACTCTCTGTGTAGAACAGGAGAACACACAAACTCCACACACACTCTGTGTAGAACAGGAGAACACACACTCTGTGTAGAACAGGAGAACACACAAACTCCACACACTCTGTGTAGAACAGGAGAACACACAAACTCCACACACACTCTGTGTAGAACAGGAGAACACATAAACTCCACACACACTCTGTGTAGAACAGGAGAACACACAAACTCCACACACACTCTGTGTAGAACAGGAGAACACACAAACGCCACACACTCTCTGTGTAGAACAGGAGAACACACAAACTCCACACACACTCTGTGTAGAACAGGAGAACACACAAACTCCACACACACTCTGTGTAGAACAGGAGAACACACAAACGCCACACACTCTGTGTAGAACAGGAGAACACACAAACTCCACATACACTCTGTCTCTGTAGAACAGGAGAACACACAAACGCCACACAGCGGTGCCCTCACGACCCCCAGCGGCAGCAGCGCGAACGCCTCGCTCCTCCTGCCGGGGAAGTCGCGTCTCACAAGTCACCCCAAGCCTCCTCCACCTTCTCCTCCTCCTCCACCTCATGAATCACTCGAACCTTACCCTCCTCCTCCTCCTGTCTGTCGTTACTCCAGCACCAGACCGTCTCAGACACGGCCTGTACGTGGAGTGTCACCAATTCCATTCGTGGGCGAGGCTCCGGTGTTTGGCACGTGGGAGGCAAGTGGAGAAACTGGAGGCAATCCACGCGGAGCGGATGACACTCACATTGATTATGAAAAACGTTCGAAATGGGGAAGACTTTGTTTATAGGTAACGAGAAAGAGAAATGTTTACAAATGAGACAATTCTTGTCAAGTGTCAAGTTTAAGATAAAAATAACCAATTTAACTGTAATTGGCCAAATCGCTGAATAATCATCTTTAAACTACTCTTACAATCCTCGTCAATTCAATGAACGTATCTCACTCTCGTCTGTCACAACTGTGACAGTGCTGTTTATTGCTGGCCCCTTGGCTGTTTGTGCCATTGGCCACGTGCTCAGCAACCCGTGTCACTTGAGGAGTTCTGTGACTTGGTACGACAAGTAAAATCTGACGACTTTATCCATAACGCATATTAACCGCCACATCAGATTACATCATCTCAAAACAAAATTAAAACTTTTCTCCATTCACTTATATTTTCGTTATTTTAAATTGCGCTCAGAGACCTAAAAATTGGGGGCATCACGCATGAACTATTCCACGGAAATGTAGTAAAACAAACTTTTAATTATAAACGAGCAATAGGAATGGTAGCGAGAGCAACACAGCGAGCCGATTCGAGTGACGGCTCGGTGAGAAATGCGTTGAATCGGCTGCGGCGACACCGACATGATGGGCCACGGTCGCTCGTGGAAAGCCACCTCGGGCGAGCGGAACGCTGTCGGCCTGTTAGACGTGCAACTGGCTACCCAGGGCCCGACTGCTGTGCCATGGCGACGTGGACAGAGTGGCCCAAGTATCGGGTTAGTGTGGCGTGCTCGCGACGCCAGGGTGAGGGTGCAGATAGATGGCGTTGTGTCGGTCACGAGGGGATCTGCATCATTATAACTCACCTCCCAAATGTATTCGACCGTGCAATTGTTGTCAAGTGACGAGATGAAGACATTTCCGTTTTAAATTCTTGGCGGGCGATACACCGCACCATGTTAGAGAACGACCCATGGGAAGAAGACATTAGAACGTCGCCGCAAAAGGCTTTTAAATCTAAGCTACGCGGGGCGCTTTTCTGTCACGTCCTCCCTAGCAGGATTACCGCTTGTCGACGAAGCCCGAGTGTTTACCGTCAGAGCGCGAGCGAGCAGCATTCGGCGACAAGGCAAGCGGTGAGCGGGCCGAGGCCCACGGCTCGGTGGGCACCAGCGAGGGGGCCGCGCGCGCGAACGCTCGCGAAGGGAAGCGCCGCCCGCGAAGGCTCCGAGCCTCACCTGCTCTCGCTCGCCGGGATCGGCGCCCCGGCCTGCGCGGGAGGCCGCTTGGCCGCCGTCTGCCGCGCGACTCCGAGGGCCGGGCTCTTCTTCTCGCCGCGCTCCGCGCCCGCCGACCGCTTCCTCGGTCGCGGCTCCGGTTCTTCGCCGACCGAGCCGGAAGACTTTTTGGATTTTGGAGACCTGCTCGAGTTCTGGGCTGCTGCCCCGGAGCCATTTCCGAGAGCGGGGTTGATGAACCGCGGGTAGTCCTGCTTGTAGAGCAGGGCGGCCGCCGGCCTCTCGCCGGCGTCGAGCTCGACGACGACGCCGACGCCGCCGCCGCTCGGCCGCTCCGGGTCGGGTCGCTCGTCCTCACGCGGGGGGGCGGCGCCGTTCCGGCGATCGCCGCTCTTCTCCGGCCGCCCATCCTGCTGCTTTTTCCACGGAAATAAATTCCGCACAACTTCCCAGTGGCTGGACTTGCGCCGCACGCTCTGCCGTTGCTGCGGCGACGGCGCGGGGGCGCCGGGAACGTCGCCGGTCTCCGTCGCGCGGCCGGGCGAAGGGGTCCGGCTCGTGCTCGACTCGGGGAGGAGAGGCGGCGGCTCGGGGCGAGGCCCCGAGGACGAACTCGTGCGGGGGGGCGGCCGGGGCGGCGCGTCGGCCCCGCCCTCCGCCTCGCTCCGGGACTTCGGCGACGTCCGCGGGGGGGTGGCCGGCGGCCGGCCGGCAGAGGGCCCCGGTACCACGACGCCCCCTTGTCTTAAGAGGGGCGGCCGCAGCTTTTCGTCCGCGGCGTCGGGGTCCACGAAGCCACCGGGAGACGTCCCGTGGCGTCCGTCGCTCCCTGCGGCCCGGCCGTCCGAGGAGACGTCCCTCTTCATGTCGCGGTACTGCGGGGGCGGCAACACCTCGAGTTTCGCCTCGTCGCCCGCGGTCCGGCCTTTGAACCGTTTCTTCGGCAATTCGGGAGGGAGGTTGGGAGGTTTGATAGAAGCGACGAGCTGAGACAGCGCGGCGCTGGCGTCTCCCCTGTCCTCCGCGTGATGCGGGGCGGCGTTTGCGTTGAGCAGTCCCTCCTCCGACCTCTCGATCCTTTCACTAGTGGCCACCGAGCCGCGGCAGGCGTTCCGCGGGTCTCCTCCCGCTCCCTCGACATACAAGAACGTTTTGTGCTTCGGCGGGGAGCCCCGGCAGAGCCCCGATGGCGTCGCGGCCGTCGTGGTTTTCACGGCAGGGCCGCCGATCCGTGGCGAGGCGGCGTTCGGAGCGAAGATCGCGGGGGAGGCATTCCCGCCGCCTCCAAGCCTCCCGTGCGGCTGCGCGTGCTCGCGACCCGGGCGCTCTCCGGGGGAGTCCTTGCGCTGGGGGCGCGACGCCTGAGACTCCGACGTTGGCGGCGCGGGAGTCACGTAGTAGTTGTTGTTGTTGTTTTCCTCGTGAGCGGCCGTGGGCGGAATGAATGTTTTACTCCTCGTGCTCTGGGCGTACACGGGGGTGTGGGGCACGGCGCTCAGCGTGAACAGGAGGTTGGCGGCGTGATTGAGCCGCTTCTCCCCCGTGGTTAACGGTTCCTGCGCCGCCGCCGCGGACCTCGTGGCAGCGACGTCGAGCTGAGCACCGCACCGGAGCTCCACGTGGTGCTGCTGCTGCTGCTGCTGCTGCTGCTGCGGTCGATGCGGCTGCTCGCGGCCCTCCATCGGCTCGGCCTGTCGCGGCTTCGCGGAAACCTCGTCCGGCCCTGGACCCGAGTCGCACGCGGCGGGCGCCGGGTCCAGGTTCACCACCCGACACGGTTTCGCGTTCCTCTCGACGGCCCCGAGCGACACGGATACGCGAGTCCGAAACGTCCTCTTGTCGCCCGCCGGCCCGGCGCCCCCCGGCTCCGCCGCCGCGCTCTCCGAGTCGGTCTCGGACGGCGTCGATTTCCGCGGCCCTTGGCGGCGCCGGCTCTCGGCGGCGTCCTCCACGTCGAAGCGCTCGCTCGCGTCGCGCAACTCGGCCTCGGCGTCGGCGACGTTGCCGTCGTCGCTGCTCACGCTCGTGTTGCCCTGCGAGTCCAGGCCCTGCGAGGTCGACTCCTGGCGAGGGCAGAGCGCCCCCGCGCTCACGGGCGACGGCGTCTCCAGGTCTTCGGAGCTGCTCACATAGGAGGCCTTGCCCTCCGAGGGGTCGGCATTCGCGTTGGCGCCGCCGGCCGCGTCGCGCTCGGCCTCCGGGCGGTCGTCGCGCCCGTGCGGGCGGTCGCGCCGGAGGACCGGGTTCCGGGGCCGCGTGGCGCGGCCGCCGTGTCTCCCGAAGTGGACGGGCGAGAGGCTGTTGGGCCTGAGCTCGGCGAAGCGCGAACGGTCCCGCATCCTCATCTCGATGGCCAGGAGCTCCTCGTCGCTCTCGTCCCAGCTCTCCCGGCCTTCCTCTCGCGCCGCCGCGACGCCTCCCGTTCTGGCGGCCTCCTCGGGCGACCCGGACGAGGCCTCAGAGTCGGCGTAGCAGAAGACGCCTCCCTCGTGGCTGATCACCTCGGGGCCCCCTTCGCCTAGGCGGACGCGCTTTCTCGGCCGCCAGACCTTCCGATCGCTCGCCAGGCAGCCGTGCGCGGCCACCGCGCCGCGCTCCGCCGATCGGTGGTAGCGGCTCCTGATGCGGTTGAGGAACAGCGCCAGCGAGCTGTTGTCGCAGCCCCCCGCGGCGTCTCCCGCGGCCAGGTGCTGGTTTGGAAGCACCGCCGCGTCGGCGAACACGTCGTTGTCGTTGTTGTTGCCGTTCTCCAGTTTATCGCACGCAGAGCCGAAGTCCGCCGCCGCCGCCTCCTTGCATTCGAACCTCGCGTGCCTGATGCCAAAATGATGATGGTTGTTGTTGCTTCTCTTTCGGTCAAGCGCGCCGTCGTCGGCGCCCTTCCTCCACCCCGTCAAGGCGTGCGCGCCGCGTCCCCCCTCAGCCTGCCGGGCATCTCTCCCGACCTCTCCGTCGCCGTTCCCCACCTGAGCCGGCGCCGCCGGGGCTCTGAAGGACGCCGGCTTTTTGGCCACGGGAGGTCTCGTCTTCTCCGCGTTCGCCGGAGCCGCGTGGCCGCCGCCGGCCGCCTGGTTCGCGGGCATTCCTCTGTGCTGGTCCCGAGGCCTGAAGCAGTCCTGGCACTTCCCTTTGATCCAGGCATGCTCCGTGAAGGAGTCGCAGACGGACATCGTCCCCGGCAGCGTCGTCGGCTGAAGCGGCTTCCGCTTGACCCCTCACATCGATGCCGGCTCATGAAACTTGGCCGCGGCTCGGACAACGCGAGGGCCTGAGCAAACACAGAATGTCAGAAATACGTCGTCAGCAGACGTTCATCCACGGTGCAACACATTCATTCAGGGTGGAAATCTACGCGGGGTTTACGGTGTGCCATCATGTCATCGCGTCGGAGTTAAACGCGGGAAGAGAAAGGCAAGGGTCTGTGTTGCACGTGGGACTTGCATCACAGTGTTTATTTCAGTAACATAGACGCAGTTATTGTGTTAATCGTACGGATGATTTCACGTCCTCGAAAAGCAATCGCTTACACCACTCCGCTCGTTACTCCACTCGGCTGAAGCGAGAACAACATTGCTCGGCTGTCAACGCCTCGATCGGCGCGAGCTGGCGTCCCGGGCCACGCAGGCCCCAGCTGCAGGTTTCCGCTCCACGTGGGCGCCGCTCCCCTCGAGGCCGACGGTAACGGTGGCGTCTCCCGCAAGCACCGCTACATTATCATCACGGTGGTAACCCCAACAGTCTCGCCGAGTCTCAAGACTAATTTTCAGGAGGGTCTTGCCAAGCTTTTTTAGGAGGGGGTGTGATCGTTGCTGTCTGTAATCCCAATTGAGTAATTTTTCAGCATTGGGATATTTGTGTTTTATTTATGTTTTAGCTATGGCAGGAAACCATAAAACCCAGAGGAAACCCATGCAGCACAGAGGGCCGAGTTGGGAATCGAGCTTAGGCCCTCGTTGCTGCGAGGCGCGGTGTTACCAACGCGCCACCGCCCTGCCGCCGGATAAGAGGGAGTGTGGCGGTGAGCGGAGCGCTGTGCGGCGTGGGGAGCCAGCATCATCACCGTCCGCTTCCCCGCTCTCGTAACCCGCATGGAGACAATGCCCCTTTTAATCAGGAGGCCCAAACGCTGACTGCTCATCTCATTATCGTGATTATACCGTGGCGCTGAAAGGTCCCAAGCCCATTAAACCGTCTTCCATATCATGGATACGGCACAGGAAATATTTTGAATGCGCGCGGGAAAGATGAGCATCACGTGGAAGTAACAAAACACACCGATACATAACGTGCAACGCGTGCCTTACTGGCAGGTGCGGTCACATGATCTCTCCGTGCATTGTGAGTAACGGCGCCTGTGGGGGGTGTAGGGATGACTGGCGAGCACTGGGGCGCTGGAGATGCTGCGGTGTAAATGACGAACAGAGACAAGAAGTGGAACGTGTTTGATGGAGGGTGAATAATAACACACCGCGCGGGTGTCACAGTCAATACTCCACGACGCGTGCAAATTATCCAGGTTGCTGGTTAGCTGGCGGCGCTCGTGCACAAATATACGACACCTTTACATAATAATGCTGCTGCACTGGTTTACTTATTAGCTGCTGCTCCTTTCCGACGCAACCAGCAAACACTCCCGAGCGGAAGTCGATGACTTTAAAGAGCAATAAACATGGGGCAGCATCTCCCTTCGTCGTCTTCTCGGCATCGTTCTGCACAGGGAAGCAGCAACTCGGAGTATTGGGGTCGAACTAGCGCAGCAGCCTCTGCATCGTCCGTGTCTCTTGCTTTATTATCTGGGCCGTCTCTCAAATGCCGGCTCAATCGCATCACGTGGGGAAGTATAGCCAAATTGGCTACGCTCCTCCCCTGAACTCCCCGCCCAATCGAATGTTTTTTTTTATTCACCCCCCCCCCCCAAGAACACGCTGCACATCCGCTGCACATCCGCTGCACCGTTGATTTAAACAAAGATGTCAAAATATGAAAAAGCAGCCAGATACTTGACGTGGTAGAATGTTATTTGACCGCCCTGCCTCTGGCTGGCCTCACTGCCGCATGCGAGGTTACCGCGATCCCCGCCACGGGAGCGGGAGACAGCCCCGCCAGAGCGCCTGGCTCAAGCAAAGCTGCCCTCTCCCCCCCCCCACCATTAACGACTCAAAACGATCACAAGCGTCGTGGACGTGGAGAAGTAACGAAATTAGTCAGCAGACAAGTCGCCGGCCCTCCCACACCCGTCCCTCCCCGTGGTGGTGTCTCCCCACCCGTGGCCTCGTGCCCGTCCGTGCGCTCAAGCGCAAAGCGGCGACGTTCATTGCATCCTGAAGCGTCCGCGTGCGACCGCGTCGCAGGTCAGGGCTTGCTCCACGTGTGCCCTTGAAAATAAAGAGAGATGATCATTCGTAAACTCGGACTCATATCTAACAGAGAGAGTCCTCCTTGCTTACGGACATCTGGCAGTTCGCCCAGCATTAGTTAAAGCAACCCTGACAATGCTGATGAGACACTCAATGTCAAAACCGGCCCAGAGTTTGTATGGTGTTGAACCAATGCGACTGAAATGATGCACTCCCGGCAGGCCGTATGGATGATGGCATGCACATAAAGACACGTCTCGTCTATGCGAAGGGGGGCATATGGGAAGGAGGCTGCTCAGTCACCATATTCCTTCGCAATGAACGTCCGTCTCGCTCTCGCGTGGCGGCCGCAGGTTGGCCGACTCGATGGCACCGCCACAGGCGGTCGGCGCACGTGGCCATGGCGGCGGTCGGTGGGGTAGCGAGGCTGGCTGGAGCCCGTTCGCACGCGCTCCTAAACTAAACCATTTTTATTTTTACCAGGTAAGGCACAGTGAGCTGGACAGCTCTTTTTCAGAAGCGACTGGCCACAAATGATGGATCAACAAAGCGGCTTGTTGTCACGTGGATTCTAAATGTGGAGGGAAAACCGCAGGACCCGGAGAAAAATCCACGCGACCACGGGGAGAACGTGCAGATGACGTCCCTGCGTGGCGCCGTGCTTGAAGGCGTCTCTCGTTTGTCACCAAAACGAATTGGCGGCTCGAAGGGGCGTTTAGCTGCCGGAATGTTTCAACGCGATTCAAAACTCATGGCGGGGGGGGAGAGAACATACAGCACGTGTCTGTGCAGTCGACAGACAACGGCGCGTGGCAACACGTCGCACGAAACCTGCTGGGGACTCTGCCGTGTGCGTTGTGTCTGATGTGCGCCACGTGAGTGTGCGTGCCACGCGTGTCTGCGTGTCAGCCCGTGCACTAACGATCCCATGGAGACAAGCGTGGTGGACCCAGAAGGGTGGTGAGAATGTCACGGTGCAAAGACATCCATCGCCAACCTCGCCGCTCGTGCCAGGAATACTAATGCGTGAGAGTCAGAGTCGAGTGATATGCGGCTCAAGCGAGCACTGGGTGGTGGAAAATCCATATTTCCAAGGCCAGGGTCATGGAAATACATAGTCTCCCAACAGCGTTAACAGTGTTGAAATGCCACGAAATTGTATACATTTTATATACCCCAGAGAGGATGATGAGACCACGGCCAGGATGTAGACTCGCATCGTTCTGACTGTGCAGTAACTCATCACGTTTGAAAAGGCACCCCCCAGTGGCAACTGTGCGGCACAAGTATGACCCAGCACCCTTGCCTGCCAACGAGCATTAGTCTGACAGGAGGGGGTGATGGTTGCGGTGTGTAATCCACTTCAAGTCATTTGCGGGAATTTTTTAGTAATTTAGCAAGTTTTCCAGCACACGATAATTTCGAATGACATCGCGAGATCTTGTATCATCGGCACTGCCACAGCGGCGAGACACGGCGACACTCTGGACACCCTGGGGGTGAGCGCGCCAAACCAGAACAGGAGCGCATGAGTTGCGTCAGCTGGGGGTGAGTGCGACACGACGTCACGAGGTCGCGACCACCGTGGGGACCGCTCCCGTGAAGCTCGCTCCATGATTCCTCCACTCTTGTTGAGGACTCTGTCTAGCAGACACCGGCTGTGACGTCTCACTCGCCACGCCGTGTTCCACCACCACCACACTGCAGGTCACCACAACAACAACCACCGGTCACCACTAAGTGGCGGTGACATGCGCCGTTTGTGCCATGCTAGGTGTACTCTGAGGCCACGTGAAGTGTCAAAGGCCCGCTGGGCAGAAGGTCACAGAACAAACCCAGGTGCCATGGGTTGACTGATTGAGATGACTGGCAAATGCACCAACTGTGTTTCCCAATGTGCCAGGTCACCGCACACCAACTCACTGCACACCCGCTCACCGCACACCCGCTCACCCGCTCACCGCTCACCCGCTCACCGCACCCGCTAACCGCACACCCGCTCACCCGCTCACCGCACACCCACTCACCGCACACCCGCTCACCGCACACCCACAACAATTTTCTTTGTGATTCTTCCGTCGCACGAATCCACACTGGAATTCCTTCCCATCGTCTTTTCCCCAAAAGCTAACTCATCATAACCTTGCTCATTTTCAATAAACGTTTGACACTCTTGTCTGTTACAACTATGACGGTTCTGGTTGTCACTGGCCGTATGACGTTTTGGCCCTTTGGGCCTGTACTTAACGGCCGAGTTAACAAAGTAACACGCATGCAATAACACGAATGCAATAACACACACACAATAACACGCATGCAATAACACACATGCATGTCATTCACTCTCACGAGCGAGGACGAATGCACACACGGACGAACCCACACGCCCCCTCGATCCGGTCACTTGGCATGCGCTCTTTAACTCTACAGCAATGCCCAACAACAGAAGATCTCACACCACTCCCTGCCACTCAGCGGTTAAGCATCCTGCAAGTTTCAAAACGAATCGAGTCGATTCTGCTAATGAAACAACAACTCAGTGGAGCCTGGGGAGACCTCACAAGACGAACGACCTCACGGGATGGACAAATTAACATTCCGCAAGCAGTCCCACGCGCCGCTCTCTCTGCTGCTTCCCGTTCCACGTTAATGCCCAGACATTCCACGTGAAATCAGAAGAACGATACAAGACGTCGTAATCACATTCGTAGCCCCGTGCTTCATGATGCACCATCTACGGGCGGCCCGCGCCGGACCGTGGCGACGCTTTCTGCTCTCGCCAACGACGGCGATTCGTTCAGCAGCTCGACGCCAATTGTCGAGCGGCCGTGACGGGAGGGCTTCGGCGGGGAGAGGTCGCCTCGTTTTGCCGTGCCTCCCCCGCTGAAGGAGCGCCGGCCACAGCGGCGTG